GAGGAATAATTCTCCCCTCTGCAGGTACCGGCTAACGAGTCCATCAAAAACGAGTTAGAAGTCACATTGTTGGGACATGACATTTTCAGAGAGGGATTTTAAAGAGGAATACTACAGCCAGGGGCTGACATCTTTTTTTTAGGGAAAAATATCAGCACCATAATTATCCACGCATTGGTCCCAACCACGTGACGGCCAGGCCAATGAGGATTGAAAATGGCCTTGATGATTCAGACGCCGGTGACGTCACCGGGGTCAAGTTGTCGGGAGAGGAGAAAACCAGCGTGGAGCAACAGCGACATCTATCCGCTTCTGGAGGGTAGAGAACCCAGGACCTTCAGGTTGAACAAAGGAGAGAGACCCCCTTTTTCCCTCCAGTTTGTTTACCAATGAACGAACGCGTGTCTCTACGGCAGAGTGGGGGCAAAATAAAGGCAGCCTGCGCTTAAATAGAAGCAAAGTCAAATTCAAATTAAAAGGTCAGCAAATAATCAACCTTCCTTTCCCCCTCTATCCCTCCATCCTTACCCCTCTTTCCTATCTCCTTAACCCAATACTATATAGATATAGATATTTATATATTAGGGGTGGGTGGGGTGGTGCTGGCAAATAATTAAATCTATCCTCAAGCCCTAAGTGAACTTTCCTCCTTTTTCTCATCTCTTCTTCTAAGCAAAAAATCCTCTTTTTTGTCCTCTATCTTCTTCCCAGTTCAAATTTGAAATACATGGAGGAAGATGCTCCCTGAAATTATAATTGTGGTCCTTGGCAAATATTTGACTAGCTTACTTTTAAATTTTTTAATCGTGGGGAAAATAAATTGCAATCCCTACAGTCCAAGATGATGGAAGGATCTCGAAAACTCTAAGCATTACTGCTCTTATTTCGGCTTTCTAGGCAAATATAAACCGGCCGTTTAGTCAGTTTATTCAATCCAGGTGTTTCCTGCATGAAAAGAGCAGCTTAATAATTGAAATCCTACAGAGGTTTTTTTTGGGTGCAATTATTTATTCAAAAAGAGATTTTTTTTACCCCCTCTCTTTTAATACAGAAACTTTTCCGCCTGTTGATCCTTCTCTCCAGTACTAAAAAAAATCGCCCCACAACAAATGTTGAATTAATAGGAATTTTCCTTTCTTTTTAAAAGAAAAATCACTCCTCTTTTTAGTTATTTACTTACTGTATTCATATACCGCCTTTTTATCTATGCAATAGTCTAGAACTCTGCCTAGGTTTGAAATATAAATATTTTTGCAGAATTGCATCAAAATAAATAGATCAATGAAAAGTCCCGAACTTTGCCTAAGTTTGAGATATATATATATATATATATAGAGAGAGAGAGAGAGAGAGAGAGCGAAATTGCATAAAAATAAATAGATCAATTAAAAGGGAACATAGAATTATTCTCCACTGGGAACGTAAATGTGGATGCTTCCTCCTCCCTTTGAAGGAATGACACCAAAAAATTAAATTTCAGACTGTGGGATGTTCTAGGAAGGCTTTATTCTTCAGAAAGCATTTCCGACCAAACACAGTTTCCATCTGATATAGTTTTCATTGATTCCGTTACCATCCAAAGCTGTGTCTGTATGAAAGTCTATGTGTATGTTTATATCTTAGTTAATTTCCTCTTTATGATCCTAACTCTTCCCTCTTCCGTCTCTCTCTGTCAATATAACCATCACACAACAATAACGGGTATTTCGGAGATAAAGATAATATGTTGGGTTTGATGTTTTCCTTGTGGCTGTTTTCTTTATTATTATACGGGTTGCAATTAAGTCAAATGGTTCTTTAGCAAGTATTAAATTGAGCAAGGTTTTTTTGTGATCATCTTGTTTTTGTTTCCTTTTTTTGCTAAGAAAAATAAATAAAGAATTGGACACTTTCTAAGTAATCTAAGGAGATGCTAAGGAGTGCTTACCAACAAATAATAAGGATCCTAATGGCAAGGGGGGAATGAGCCAGGCGGCGGGAATCTCAAGATCATGACGAAGGATTGCAAACCTTCAAAGGGTTCATAGTCATTTTCAAGGGGTGAGTAAGAGCCTTTCTGTCTCTCTTTCTTTCTGGGAAAAGAAAGAGAAATAAACACCGAGGGATATTGTGCGGGATTAGAGGAAGCAAACAAGGCACTTGGTCATTTAGGGCTGTGTGTGTTTACAGTTTGAAAATGCAAGGTTGGCTCTCTAAAGCCAAGGCAGATCTTTATCAACCCATTCCCCCCCCCTCGACCTTGTTTTACAATTCCACTCGGCTGTTGGCTTTGAAAGGCCTTCCAAGATGAAGGGGTGGGGGGGCACACCTTCCAGTCCCCCCAATACTTACTCCCCATCTTCAAGGGTGAGAAGTTTTAATATCGTAGGCCAAGGAAGTCTTAAACGACCTCCTCATCCGACTTGTCTCGAAGCCCCTTCCAGCCCAGCCCACCCCTCCCACCCGAAATGCAGCCCTTCTAAAGAGCTTCCCTGCACTTTAAACAGCCGTTTGCTTCCTCTGGAAAGCTATTTGCCACTTTATAGCCTCTATTTGTGTTATCTGCATAGGTCTTTTTAAAACAGTTTGATAGAAATCGTTCAGTTTTATGATATCCAACGAAAATTCCACATAATATTTATAAGCAAAGGATAAAACTTTAGCATGGGAACCAATACTTCCTCATTTATAGGTGATGAAATTAAAGACCAATGCAGTTTGGCATTATATGACTTTCCCTCGTTCTCCCCACCCACCCCCCTCTTTCCTCTCTTTCTTTCTTTCCTTTCTTTTTTATTTTTTTTTCTAATCAGATCAAGTGGCTAACTCCATAATTTTTGGCACCGAAGCCTTATATAGGTTTTTTCACACGTGCATTTATTTATTTTTATTTTTATTTTCTTTGAAGGGTGGGGTGGAGGGCCCACATTTGACCTCGCTCCCCAGACAGTTTGGTTAAAAAATGAAAATATGTTTCCTAGCCTCTAATATCCTTATTTACTGCTGTGCATTCTTGCGTGTGTTATATTTCTCTCTTTATTTCCCCCCTCCACTTTTCCTCTATAGGAAGAGGAATGTGCAAACCGCACTGTGGCGAAACCTGTCAAGTAATTTGATTTTTATCCTCTTCATAGACCCACACACCGCCAAGGAAGTCTCAGTAGGTACAGAGTTATACCCATAGCCCTGAAGACAAGGCAGAGGTGTTTCCAAATGTGCCAAGCTGGTAAATAATATATGTGTGTATGTATGTATGTGTGTGTTGTGTGTGTATTCTTTTGGTTGTGGTTTAATATATAAATATAAATGTAAGGAGCATGGGTCTGTAGCCATCTTTCCCTTTTGTAAGGGGAGAATTTTCAACGTCTCTGGTGGAGCTGACGGTCAAAGTCTTTCACAAACACAAACACAAAAAAGATGGCCCTGGTGGCTGGAGCTGGAGGGAGGGATGCCTGGAAGAGAGGGCCAGCTCCCTCGCCCCCCAAAAGTGCCATTTCTGGGCCTCATTCCGGCTCTTTAGAGCCCTGGCAGGTCTGGCCAATAAAGGAACAGGCGAGGAGGGGATGTCAGGGAATGTATCCAGGAGACGGAATATTGCTTAAAGTTAAAAAATAATTAGAAGTATGATAAACATGGGTCATTAATGGGGAGAGAAATAAAATTCATCAGCCTAAGTAGAACCCCCGTTGGGAGAAATGCTTCCCTCTAATTGCAGAAAATAAATACCAACAAATGCTATTAAAACTTAAAAGGAGGAAAGCCTGTGTGTGGAATAAAGACCAGAAGAGCCTGCTCTGGGGAGCCTTGCCGGGTTTAAACATTCCGCTAGAAATCAGCCTGCAAAGTATATAAGTGCATGTGTGTGTTTCTAGACATAGGTGTGTGTAAACAGCCCCTATATCCGAAACACAGACTAAATGTACTTAAAATATCATTCATCTTGCGGATTTCAAAAGTCACCAGTGTTTTGTGGAGGGTATATGCATGTATGTGTATGTATATGCGTGTTTCTGTAAAAATATAATTCATCATGCGGATTTCAAAACTCACCAACATTTTGTGGAGGATATATGTATGTATATGTATGTGTGCGTTTTGTTATTTATGTGATACACTTTACTAAATTTTAAAAATAGAAAGAGGGAATTATTGTGGCAGATCTGGGGAGTGATATTATTCCCACATGGCGCGTGTGTATGTATGTATGTGTATGTGTATGTATGTGTATGTGTATGTAGTCCACACACAGCATGCATATATATATATATATTTAGATTTCATTTCCCCTTCGGAGTCTATGTACCTTGGTTTAATTAAATCATAGATATGTAGATATGTAGATAGATATGTAGATATATAGATTAGTCCACACACAGCATGCATACACACACACACACACACACACACACATGCTGTGTGTGGACTAGTGGATTTTTAGTTTGGATTAAAAAAATATTTTAAGCCCCCAAACAAAGAGGAAGTAAAGAAAGAGTAGAAAGGGGTGGGTGAAATTGGACAGAATATTGAGCTAGAAAGATAATAATAATAATAATAATAATAATAATAATAATAATAATAATAATAATTTTATTTTTGTATCCTCCATCTCCGTGAAAGGACTCAGGGTGGCTTACATGGCGACAAGATGGGAGAAAACGCGGTCAAAAAGAATGGAAAGCTATTTTAATTCTTGAACCTTAAAGAGAACTTTTACAAAATGATGTATGGATCATACCTGACTCGGCTTGAACTGCCCAAGACATATAAGGACACTAAAAACTTATGTTGGAAAAGTGAGACACCCCAAGGTCCTTTCTGTCAAATGTGGTGAGCATGTGACGAAGCCAAAGAGCATTGGAGGCTGATCCAAAACTGGATGCGAGAGAGATTGAAAGAGTCAGGCGAAGAAGAAGAAGGCGCAGAGCTTTGCTACCTTCCTTTCTTCAGATCTGGGGCTCTGAAGCCAACTACAGACGGTCTCCCATTGTCTCTGGTGTCTGATTGCTCTGCCTGTGAATGCCAAAGGCAGACAGTTCAGTTGACCTCCCCCCTGTTGGGAAAAGGGGGATTTTTCGCCATGTCCCCTTGGCTTCCCTTACCATGGAGTCCTGCTTTCGGACTGAAGGTCCGAGGCTGTGAAGGAGGACCGTCCAAAACACAGCCACACTTCCCCCCTTCCAACCCAAAACACTTATTGAGGAACACAAAGAAACGCACGTGTCCAATAACTCACCTCAAAGTACACCTCAAACTTGCACATAATATTTTACCTGCTCCGCTTCCCTCCTAATTATTTAACCCTGAGTTATGCCGTGGAAAGCGCCTCTTATGTCCATTGTATTTTTCCCTTCTTTTTTAGAACAACTCTTCCCCCGACCCCCCTTTCACGTTTTTTATTGCAAGCATTCATTTTCGCTTCTAAGAAGTCTTTGGTAGCAACACTTTAATGATTACCTTAAATTTGTATTTCTGCTTGGTATTCTGCCCCGTGTTGTGGAGGAAATAATTCTGATTTATGGCAAAGTACACTGGAGTACAATAACAGTGATGCAAAAATAAAACCCACGCCTTTAGATGTTGGCTTAGAAACTGTAAACTATCACCACAAGAAATCTATCAAACTTTACAATCCCTCTTATACTGCTTCCTTCTTTCGGAGTAACTTAAGTCAAAGAATTATGGAATGATATTATGTTCCTTGAGGTGGTAGTGAAAAGTGTGCTCAAGTTGTTTCTGCCTCCAACACGGGATATTATTTAGTCACCAAAACCCTGGTATGAGTTTGGCAACCTCTCTTTGATTGGATCGTGGAGACCAGAGTTGGAGGGAGAGAGAGAGAGAGAAAAAGAGGAAGTTTCCCACATCACATCCCCTTTTCTCTTTCTTGCTCTGAATATCCGTGAATTTATGTAAAAACGTTCCAAAAAACTTTTAATTTCCAGCACTGGGGAGGGGGGGGGACTATATATCTATATATCTATATATCTATAAATCTATATATCTATATATATATATATATCTACATAATCTATATATCTACATATCTACATAATCTATATATTTACATATCTATATAATCTATATATCTACATATCTACATATCTATAATTTAATTAAACCAAGGTACATGGATTCCGAAGGGGAAATGAAATCTAAAAATCACATCTCTTCAAAACAAGCTGTCCTTTTGTATTTTATAGTTTATGTGCTGTGTAAAATGTCTTTCACGTTGGCAATTTTTACTCCAAAGTGTGACGATATAAACAATTGGAAATGCATGAAGTGCTCACAGATGAGAATTCCTCCAAATATTTTCTTTTTGCTTGTATATACAGATGGGCATGATATCTATCTATCTATCTATCTATCTATCTATCTATCTATCTATCTTCTTAATTTTTGTAGTATAAATTGCTTGACTGATAAATGAGGGGACAAGAGTGAAAAACTGATGGGAAGTTGTATTCGTATCCGAACTGACAAGAAGGCTGATAACTTTACAAATTCTCAAAATTACTTAAAGTAGGTCTAAACTGACTTTCAAATGCAAGCGGGCCAACTTCGTCTTGTTTATGTGAGAACACAAAGAATGCAACAGTTCACCAGGAAATTGAAAATATACGTTTATATATAAATATATTTAAAAACCAACACAAAGAGAAATGCCAAAATACACCAAAATGTGTGTCTTTTATTTAAAAGAAGAGGACTCGAAATGAGATTGAGATTCGGAGAAGATATGAAAGTGTCCTTCCTTTGAGCACTGTGGCTCCTCAGATACTTTTTCAAACCCGAGAGATTGTGTTGTTGAAGGTTTTCATGGCCGGAATTACTGGGTTGCTGTGAGTTTTCCTGGCTGTATGGCCGAGAGACATTTCTAGATTAGTTCAAACACAGATTTCCTCTCCCCTTCGCGGGGAACCCCACTTTCTTCAGGAAGACCCAGGTACGGAAGCCCTCTTTGCTCCAGGAAGAGGTGGCTATTCTTCCATTCTTCGGAAGGTGAGTCCAGTTTCAGAGAGCCATCGACAACGCTTCTCTGCCCGCTCTCCCAAGGATATTGGCCAGGAAGAGCCTTTTCACAAGCTAATCTGACATTTCATCCCTGGATATTTTTCGGTGAGAAGGGATATTTGGAAATAACCCTTCCCATGACTTCGAGACCGACCTCGGTGAAAACACTAACCTTTGGGGGACGTCTGTTAATGCATTAATATATTGAGTTGCTGACTTAAAAAAAACTCCACCTCGGTGGCTACAAAAAAATCCAATTCTTCCAACCATAATTTCAACCAAGACATGTCTTTCCTATTAAAACATTTGATGTTGAAAATTTCACCGCCCTTTTTCGTTTTGTTTCTAATTCACAAACAGAATTTGATTTGTTTGTTTTTTGGCGAGGGGATGGGAGGGAGTGTGACCCCCCTTTCGTCGAAAAAAACCCCGTCTAACACCACTTTCCATCCCGAACGTGACCCTGGCGTTTCCTTTGAGGGGAAAAAAATCTGAAAAGTTTTAGAAGGAGCCTATAAGACACATTCTTGCGGGTTTTTTTGTTGTTGTAATTTAGAGATTAGCAAAAGCAGAAAAGGGGTCTTAAGGGGAACATAATCTGCACAACGTCTTGACAGTTTCCAGCTTGATTACAAAGTAGAATCAAGGCCTCCCTGGGTCGCCATTTTGACGGGGGTTATTTAAATGTAAGACTTTCGGCTTTCTCAGGGCCCTTCCACACAGCCCTAGATCCCAGAATATCAAGGCAGAAAATCCCACAATATCTGCTTTGAACTGGGTAATCTGAGTCCACACTCAGATAATGTGGGATTTTCTGCAAAGATATTCTGGGATATAGGGCTGTGTGGAAGAGCTGTGGGTCCACACTCAGAAAATGTGGAATTTTCTGCCAAGATATTCTGGGATATAGGAATATCTTGGCAGAAAATCTGGGTGTGGAAGGGCCCTCAATAAAATTGGGATTATGGAGAGATACAATCTAAGGAAAGCGAGAATGGTTTCTCTTGTTTGGGACTTTCGCCCATCACAAATGCTTCCTCACATCGACTATAGGAAAATATTTGGGGGGGGGGGGATAGGTGCAGAGAGAAAGGCCTCTTCCTATTCCATCTCTGCTTTGTTGAGAAATTGGGGATCCATCAGAAGTGGAAGGAAAGGAAGAAGGCAAAATTAATGGTGCATTCAATGAAGAGCTGTGGGGCTGAGGGACTGAGGGGGCAGAAGGCTGTAAAACATCCCCACTGGTCTCTAGATTCAGAATGGCTAAAGGGGATACTTTCCCTTACAGAAAACAGCCAACCGCCTCGACCTCTTTTGAGGTACCTCCTACAGGAAAAGCCCACAAAGCAAACAACCCCACAAAGTGGCCACCCGCTCCCCAACCACCGCCCCCCAAAACCCCGCAATAGGTCCACCTCAGCAGGGCGAAGTTGGCTCTGTGAGAGGAGGAAAGAGACCGGCGGAGGGCGAGCTTCAAGTCCACTTGCCAAAGCCACTGCCTTTGCTCTTCCGGGTCGCCTGGGTCCATCGAGGAGGCCAAGTTGCCGAGCCCAAAGTCAAAACCCTCCGCGGACATTCAGGGCGGCATTTTCTTTAGGGGTGGGATGGGGGGGGGGGCGTTCCTCCTGCTCAGCCCAGGAGCTTGTGTTGTGGAGATCCGCTGAGCTTGGCCAACCCTCCAACTCCCACCCCCGGCTGTTTATTTACACGAAGGGAGACCCGAGAGAGTGCTCTGCCTCCTGGCTGCGCACAGTCAAGTTTATGGCTCCTCAACTCTCAAAACCCAGAGGAGGAGGAAGAGGAGGAAAAGGAGGAGAAGGCTCGCCCGCTGCTGGGACCCCTCTCCAAGAGGTGGGTGGAAGGATCCTTGGGATAGCCAAGCACACTTGCTGGAGGGACTCACGCTGACACTCCTCTCCTTCAAGGCCATATCTCCAGGACGGGAGGGATTCACCTCGGGGAAAGGAGGGAGAAGTGTATCTTCAGCAACCAAGGCAGCAGCAACCAGAAAGAAGTCCTCTCTTACCCTGAGGCCCAGCGGAGGTGAAGGCATGCATAGGTCCTGCCTCAAAGATAGGTCTAAACTGGAACCCCACTTTCTTCTCAGTGTCCCTCTCGGTAACACACACATACACACACAGACCGACACAAGTCAGCTACCCGTCGCTTCCCATCAAGTTCAGTAGGAAAACACGCTCGCTTGTGGGGTGTTTGTACGTCACACCCAGAGGTCCTTCGCAATTAGCCTGTGTGCCATTAACGTGGCTTTGCACCGAGATTCCCAGCCTATGGGGGACCACGGAGGTTGACGGACCTACGGGGAGACAGAGATGTGAAGAGAGAGGGGGAGAGAGAGAGGGGGGGGGGGGGCAGAGAGAGAGCTAGCTGTCTTAGGCAAAGCCTCCAATGCCTGCTAGGAATTTCAAGGAAGGAGGGAGAAGGAGGGGGGGGGGGGACGACACCCTTGTAAAACTTTTAATGCCAAACAAAGTTATAAAAACTTGCTCTGAGTTAAGATATCCAAAGGTTTATAACAATAATAAAGCCTGGATGGGACTCAGGTCGGTGTGTTTCTATGCCAGCCTTCTCCAAGATATATGAAGCTGCGGAGCGACTGAGTTAAATATTAAGTACCATAAACACCACGCTCCTTCGAAATGTGTATTTGCGTGGGGTGTGTGAGATATATACACACACACACACACACACATATACACACACACACACACACGTCTCTTTCTCCCTCTATTAATCTCTGTGGGTCTGTGCATATTTAACACACACACTCAAAGCTCCAAATCCTCCCCCCCCCCCCGTTTTCTAACTCAGTAGGCGGGAACATTGAGGAAAAAGGGGGGACGCAGACCCCTTTCTGATTCCGGTTTATTACAAAAGGGTTAAAGGTGATGGACTTGACTCCATTGAAGTTCAAAGACGTCATATATTCACATTTTTTGTTCTTCTCGTGGCCCCCTCGCCTCCCTTTCCTTCCTACCAACATGCAACAAGTATAATCCCAGTGTCCAAAGCCCCTTTTTGCTTATTGGGGTCTCTTCCTGTTGGAGGCCCCTATTTTGGCTGAGGAAAGGGGGGCAGGAAGGTATCTCGGGGCTACTAAACCTTACACCCTCTTCTTACAGTCGCCTCAGATGGGTCGCTTACTTCCCCAGCCAAATCACCCCCTCCCCAAAACAAAAACAAAGCTCCTCTACACCGCCCCCCCCCCCAAAGAACATTAACGGGTTATCCCTACCTCGCACTGCTGCTTAATACCCTTGTAAAGTCCCACATGGTCTATAAACTTGGGTTTTACAACTGGCATTCCATTTTAGCTGGAGAAAACTTTGAACTAGGCCTCCAGTTTCATTGTGTGGCAGCCCCAGCAAAGGACAGAGGAGGGTGGGATGCAAGGGGAGGGGGAGAGGTGGAGTGTGTGCTGGTGTGTGTGTTGGGGGGTGGGTGGGTCGAGGAGCTGGAAGAAAGCTCAGCAAAGGCCTTCTTATTTGTTTACTATTTACTGCGGAAGTCTTTTTCTATGGCCAGACGGTGGTAATTAAGAGGGAAAAAATTAAGCTGTTTAGTGCTGCAGTCTTTATTACAATGTCTAGACTAGTCGCCCCCTTTGTCCAGACAACCGCCTCAGTGACTGGACTTTCTGACCTGGAGATGTGGACCTTATTGCACCTACGTCGAAATGCTTTTCCCCTCTGCAACCTTGGAAAAGGTTGAGCCGGTTTAACAAGAAGGAAGGTTTAACAAGAAGGAAGCCGGCTTCTTGTGGATGATGCGCCATCTTGTCCCTGAGACACTGAGATGTCTGTGGATGTGTGGGGCTCGAGTGGCAAGCCCCACTTTTCTTAGGAACATCTTTGCTTTGGGAAAATATTATCTGGTCCCCGAGGGATCCTGTTGCCTTTCCAATGTACTTAAGGCAACACACATCAGAGCCTAGTTACATTATTGAAGGTTTAATCCAAGAGGAAGGTTATAGGCCTGTATACACATTCCCAAGCGTCTCCATTAGAAGCAAACACAAATCCGAAAGAGAAGGAAAAAGAGGGAAAAAAACCAGTATGCACATTGGGTGAGTGTATAGATCCGTGGCATATGTGTGTGTGTTTGTGTGTGGTGTGCATATATAAAATCTGGTCCCCTAGGAATCCATGCACACACATATATACATAGTCATACACACACTTAAATATATAACATACACATATATACATAGACACATTTTATATGTGTGTATGTGTGTGTGTGTATATATATATATACACACACACACACACATATATATACACACATTTACATGTATGTGTATGTGCGTGTGTGTGTATACATATGCATATGTATTTACACACACACACACATGCCACGGATATATATATACTCACCCAATTTGAGTGTGTGCGTGTGTATATATATATATATACACACATGCATATCTCTATATACACTCACCCAATTTGAATGTGTGCGTGTGTGTATGTATATATATATATACACACACATACACACGCATATATCTCTATACACACACACATACACACGCATATATCTCTATACACACATACATACGCATATCTCTATATACACTCACCCAATTTGAGTGTGTGCGTGTGTGTATATACACTCACCCAATATGAGTGTGTGTGTGTGTAAATACATATACATATATATACACACACACGCACATACACATACATGTAAATGTGTGTGTTTATATACACACATATATCTCTATATCTTTCCTCCCTCCCTCTTCTAATGAAAAGCATGCCTGCTAACATAAGCTGATACTATCAGAGACAAACGGGAGATGGATCTGACCAAAAGCTAAAGTTTCACCCAATTTTCTCCTCCATGTTTTCTTTATTTTTTGCAAGCTAAGCACATTTTTGAGGGTTTCTCCTTCGCTGACAAATCAAACCAAAAAGGCAACATCAAAGTATGTTCCTTGCTGGGTTTTTTTTTTTCAAAGTCAATCCCAGGAACCTCTCCTTGCCCCTAAATGTTTCTATAGATTTGTTACTGCTTGTCCCTTCAACCACAGACACACCGAGGGAGAATTGAGCCCGAATAGTCATGGAATAGGAATGGGAAAGTTGAAGAAAGGGAGGGTGTCATTGTCTCCAAGGATTGCGTCTCAGCCTCTTCTCCCCACTCCCCTCGTTTTGCCCTCTTGCAAAACCAGGATACAATTAAAATATCCCTTCCATTATTTTCTCGTGTGGTTGGAGCATCTTTTTGTGTCCTGTTGTAAAGCAGGCGGCGCTTTCTTCCACGGAGGAAGGAAGGGCTATTGCCGCGCGTGGACACCAAATTGCACTTCCATCTCCCTCTCCCGGATTTGAACTTGTTTTTGCTTAAGAGAAGGAATTAAGGACTTGACTTTGCATTTGTGCTTTGCACGAGGAGAGAAGGGAGGAAAAAAAGCGAGGAGGGAGAGGAGGGGAAAGGGGGAGGTACTCTATCCTTGACATTAAGGAAAAAATCGCCTTCTTTGTTCGGGCAGCGAGAGATGAGCTTCTTCCCTCCAGTCCACCGCCTTGTTTTCGATGGCCATATTATTCCTTCCTTAACCAAGATTTCGGCATATTGCTGTAGACTCTTCTCGCAGGCGGGGGAGGGAAGGAGGAGAAGAAATAAAAAGGTTAACTGCATTGGGGAAACAGACAAAGACATCTGGAGGCCAACACAGAGCGGTGTTATGGGGCCAAGAAATTCCTATAAATTTAAAAGCAATGATGAAAACAATGAACTCCACAACAAATGTCTAGTTAAACGCAGAAGGTTCATATTAATCGAGCTGTATTTCATATATATATATATATAGAGAGAGAGAGAGAAGTGTGTGTGAATTGGCACTGTACACACATACACACACAAACACACATTTATCTCTCTGGCACACAGGCACATGCACACGTAATGTTTCTATTTGGGCATTGAAAGTCCTACAAAAACTGCAGGAAAAAGTCCATAACGGGCTGACCGCAAGGCGTTTTAAAAGCGGGGCATGCTAGTAAAAGGGTCAAATAAAAATCATAATGTAGAACAGCTTGAAATGTCTTTATTTGCCACAGAATTTCACAGAGTTTTCCCGGGATTCACTTCTTTACATACACAAAGGGTTTTCATTTAATTTTTATTTTATTTATAATCGCCATTGTTGCTGCCCTTGCTGTTGTTGTTGTGAATGTTGTTGTTGTTGCTCTTCTCCTGCTGTTGGCCGCCCAGGTCCAGGAGAGGAAATGCATTGACACACTCTTTAAGAGACAGTTATTGCAAATTTATTGGAGCCCTTCCCCTTCCTCCCAGTCCGCCCACCCTAACCCACCCCAGATGCAGGAAGGGGCGGAAAGGGCTGAAAAGTGGGGGGTCAACCCAAGCTGGGATTGCAGAGCGTGGGCCCACAAGGAGGGGAAAGATCCACGAGGGAATCAACCCAAACCAGGCCATTGCAGGGACACCACTGTTTTGGATAGAGGTGATGATGATTTCCAATGGCTTTCAACGCACAACAGTCCTTGGCAATGTACAGCAGGGGAACCCTAAGGGATGGTGGGTGGGTGTGTGCACGGATGAACACGTGTGGCTATATACACGCACACAGACACATACATACGCACACACGCACGCGCACAATCGCGCGCATCTGCTGACACGCTCACAGCCCCTTCCCTCCCCTTTCTTCTCCCTTTTCTGAAGGCCTAAGCCTTGGAGGGGCGCTTTTGCTTGAGAAATGTCATCGATTTGCACATCAAAATAAAGCACAAGGAGAGCCAGACGGCTCTGGACACCGTGCTGCCATGTCTTCCAAGGAACATGGAATGAAAAGGCCGAAGAGGAGGAGGAGAATGACAAAAATGGAGCAAAGAAATCCGAATCCAAACCATCCCCGTTCTTCTCCACCCAACGTTAAATTAAAAACAGACAAACAAATATAGTTCGCACAGTATTCAAGTCCTTTTTGTCCCCAACGTGAGTGTGTTTGGAAGGAATATAAGTGACACCTCTCTCTTTCTGAATGCCCCGAACAGGTCCCAAAACAGACAAACGGAAGGAAGGAAAGAGGAAGGTTTTTCAAACTCTGAGGGCTGCTTGTAAGCTCCACACACACAGTCAGTTCGCCCCACCGTCCCCTTCTTCATACACAGGGTTCTTCAACGAGCAGAGGAATTGATTTTAAATGTTGTTTTTTGTTTTCTCTTTGAAACAACCACATCAACAACAAAAAGAAGAAGAGAGGTTCACAATAAGGGGTTTCCAGAGAAATACTGCAGGCGGTCTCTGCTGAGTTTTTTTTCTTTCATCCTTCTGTTCTGAAACCAAATTTTGACCTGTCGGTCGGTCAGGTTCAACATCCGCGAGAGCTGCAGCCTTTTCTCTTTGTTGATGTAGACGTTGAAGAAAAACTCTCGCTCCAGCTCTCGGATTTGGAATTTGGAGTAAGGGCAGCGCTTCTTCCTCGTGCGGGGGGCACCTTGCGGGGGAGAAAGAGAGAGAGAGAGAAAGAGAGGAAGACAAGTGCCAGCAGAAAGGATGCACGTGTGTGTATGTGTGTGTGTGTGTGTCTGTGAAAATAAGGGAGCCAATGACACCGCATATATATATACACACACACACAAACCCCAGTCCCATTTCTCCACGGTCTCCCCCCCTCCCCTCCAGCTCAGAGCTCACATACAGAGCTGCAACGTCAGGTGGAGCATCCCCAAAAATGTGCAGAGGGAAACCAGAGAGAGAGGACCCTCTTCCCTAGTTTTCTTCGGGAAGAGAGGATCAATTATCTCTTTCTCTCGCTCCCCACAGTCTCCTTGGCTCTTTGGCTTTCTATCCACCAAGCATCCACTGCTCAGGAGGAAACAGGAAAGCCGGGCACCGAGGCTGCACATCTGCAACCTTTTCCAGCTGCCTCTGCCCAAGTCTAGCAATGCTGGGAGTCACAAGCACGAAGCAGGATGTCCTCCATCAGTTTTCCATTAACTGGAATGTCACCCTCCACTATCCTCTTTCTACAGAGACACACATATCCAGGACAGCCAGAGCCACACATCTAAGGAGTCAAAAGGGAAGCAGAGTGGCAGCATGTTCCCCCAAGGGTGGCAAATAAAATACAAGTTGTGTGCAAGTTCACTTCATATTTAAGAGACACACAAATCCAAGAAAACCAAAGCCACACGTCTAAGCAGTCAAAAGGGAAGCAGGGTGGCAGCATGTTCCCCCAAGGATGGCCAATAAAATACAAATTGTGTACAACTTCACTTCATATTTAAAGCCAATTAAAATGAACACCAGAAGGTCACTGGCTGGATCAACTCCCCCATTTTAGATTATTTTTAAATTGAAAAGGGGAGATAAGGAACCTGCCTAGATGTGAATAGCTAACAGCACCTGAGAAAGACCATTCCTCTATATCTAGGTATGCAGATCTATAACTACATGCTAAACGTTGTCTGAAACACAAACCCGCATACATAAACAGTATACAAGCCTACACCCTTTAAAAAGTGAGATAGTTTCAAAATAAAACATTGTATATGTATATATATATATATATATATATATATATATATATATGAGAAATCAATATATATGTAATGAAAGTATATATATATATATATATATTCATATAAATTATGATATATACTTTCATAATTAATATATTATATAATAATTAAAAATCATCCAAGATCTTCTGCCTCAGAATACTTTTGAAGGCGAAGAGATGGGTGAATGGCACCAACAGGCTGCCTTTCCTTTCCTCCCAACATGCCTCCAGTTCTAGGTCCAAGGCTTTGAGGGGGTGGGGGGCGGGTGGTGGAAAGGAAGGAAGGAAGGAAGGAAGGAAAGCCCCCTCTCCCTTCCCCACCCGGCCTCCTCCTCCTCCTCGAGAGGACAGGAAGCGAAAGCAGTGTTCTGCCCAATTGCCTTTTACCCTCCGAGAAGCCCGGGACGGGGACTCCTTTTAAAATGCTCCCGTAAGTTCATGATCAAAGTTAATATTTGTCACCATGGTGTGCTTTTAAAAATTTCACAGACTCGGAGACCCCTGAGTGTGTGTGTCTGCGCCTAGCATCTCCGTCTCTTTCTCCCTCCCCCCCCCCATCGTAAAAACCCTCCTCGTTGCAAGAAAGAGCTTTTGTAGGTTATAATAAAATCCTTTGAATGCTTATAAAACTCCACATAAAATTTGACCGACAAAAACAGCGGGCTAGTCCCTTAACCTTTCCCGTTTACGGCCCTCTCTCTCTCTGGTTCTCTCTCCCTCTACCTACTGGCGTTGCTGGCTTTGCTGCCTTCCTTGTTGACAGAGGCGGACGAGGCGGAGGAGCCCGGGTTGGTGTTCTCCTCCTCGTCTTCCGGGTCGACGCCGCCGCCTCCACCGGGCTCGGCGCGGGGCTGGCTCTCGCCGGGGTCCAGCTTGCCCTCGCCCTTCTGCAGGCAGCTCTCGGCGCCGGGGTTGGTGCTGCTGCTGTTGTTGTTGTCTCCCGAGGCGGAGGAGCAGTAGGCGTTGTCGAAGAAGCGGTCGAAGCCCTGCGGGAGGACGCTGTTCTTGTTCATGCCGTAGAAGCCCGTGGTAGCCGGGTGGTGGTTAGAGCCCGGGTGGTGGTGGTGGTGGCTGTAGACGCTCCCGCCCTCGTTCTTCATGAGCATCTCGGTCATGGTGGCGGGCGGGAGGCACTCGCGGTGCATCAGCTCCTCGGCGGCGGAGTAGCAGGAGGCGTAATTGCTCCTCGGGTGCCATTTATTGGCGGGGTCCAGCCCGTAGGAGACCTCCCGCACGGGGGGCACTTGCGAGAGGTTGGCCGAGTACGGGTAGGAGATCTGTCGCGAGGGGGCCTGGGGCAGGAAGGAGGACACGGCGGCGGAGAACTCGGGCACGTAATAGGTGCAGCTGGGGAGGTAGAGGTTGGAGGCGCACCCGGCAGCGGCGGCGGCGGCGGCTCGGTCTCCGAAGTCCCCGCTCCGCTCTTTGCGCGACTGCGAGCAGAAGTTGCCCAGGTTGACCGAGTTAAACATCTTCCCTTCCTCGCCGGCTTTTTTAACCAACCGGGCTCCTGGCGGACAGACACAGCCGGGTTTGGGGATCCGAGGTGCAGAGGGGGGGGAAGAAGCAAATTTGGGGTCGGCGAGATGACGCGCGATCCGTCTTAGTCGCTCGCTCCAGGACACGTGATGCCCCCCCCTCAAAGTAGATATTGTCATATATCAGTTTGGAGGGGAAAAGCACTTAGGGCGCGCGTTGGCGTAGGAGTGGTTCACTTAGGTAAGATCTCAGAGGTTCAAACGATTGGTTTTCAAACACCGCAGAAACATTATGAAAATCAATCGCAGATTTGTAGGCATTTTCTGCTACCTCCACCACCAGCACACACCCACCCTTTGGATTGGAAGCAGCATTCAGAGCAGAGAGCGAGGGGATGGAGAGCTGGTGAACTTCTCCCTCTCTCCCTCTCTCTCTCTCTCTCCCTCTCTCTCTTTCTCTCCTCGATTTGGGTTTTGCTTCCAGTGTCTGGTTCAGGGGGGATTGGGATATGGGGTGGGGTGGGGGAGGTGAGGGAGGGTCTAAGAGATGTGTGAACTGTAATTTCTCCCCGGTCACATGTTTGTTCTTTTTTTTTTCCAGGGCAGTCACATTTTAGGCGTGATAAGACATATATTCTCCTCCCCCATCCCTACCCCTTAAAATAATAATAATAACAACCATAGTAATGAGTGGAACCAGCTCTTAGAAGCCCAGAGGACTGAGAAAAGGTTCTTCAGTTAAGTTTTCCAAACCATTCTCAAGATCTTGCTATACACTTCTCTATATGTTATGTGCCTTGAAACTTTGAAATAGGGAGAGAAAGAGGGAGAGGAGCCAGTTTCTAAGCTTGGCTGTTTACCTGTTCCCTTAAACCTGAACTTCAGGTATACCCAAACTCAACAATGCTAAATAACACACACACACACACACACACATATATATCTGCATATACACACACATCTCTCCAGTGCCTTAAAGCAATGCAAACTTGGGAACTTTTTCAAGGGATTTAAGTCCAAACTTGAACACATTTAGGCCCGGCTTAAGGACTTTTGCAGTATGTTGGGGAATCTGAGCTATTAGGCTCACAATAACCCTCACTTGGGGTGATTCCACTATAAATATAGCAGAGTCCCGGAAGTAAACTCCAAAACCAGCAAAAACTTGCATGTGATGAGCAGGGATAAGCTTCTATTCCTTAGGATGCCTTAGGATTGCAGTATATTCGTCTAAGGGTAGCGGGTTGGGGGTTGGGGAGGAAATAGATCAAGACTTGGACCCAATGAATGAAGTCGAGGGTTGATACTTATTCCAAAGCGCCTTCTGACGTTTGGTTAAATATTTATTATGGAAAAGTGGTCTAGTGAATATTTAATGCAGCTGTTTATTGTCAATCAATGTATGGTCACAATGCCTTGTGACCTTTATTTTACCAGCTAAATAAAAGGGGAGGGGCGAAAAAATTAAGGTTCTGATTAAAGTCGTTTGTCCTTAGGTTTGGTGCTGGGAAAGGGTGGGCTGCCTATCCCCCCTCTTTCTTTCTGTATCTCGTTGAGACTGGAAGGTGAAAGGAGGCAGGTTTGCTCAGGGGGTTTTGCAGAACATTTCGGGCGATTGTCACCTATTTGTTAACAGGGTCCAATAGCAATTAATTCCAATACCAATGTAAAAGAAGAAGCTTCGAGGAAGCACAGAAGGAATGTTTACAGTACTTAAGTATCGAGGGAAGGGACCTCAAGAAGTGTGTTTAAAAAATCTCTTAATACTTCGGATTACTTTAGGCACGAGTCACCCGAAGCCTCAAAAATATTTCACACTTGGCAATAGAACATCATTCCTTTTGGGTTGAAAATAAAACCCAATGTGGATCTTTTTAAAGGGTTTTCTCTCTCACTCGGATGCTGTTATCTATGAGCTCTTTTGTTCGCTTCTTTGCCCTCTCCTTCCTGCCTCGATTTTTATTTTCTTTTGCAAAATCGCTTTCCAGATATTGCTGACTCGGTTCTGTTGCTGTTCAAAGAACTGAAGGCGAGAGAGAGAGGGGGGGACGTGGAATATTATTATTGTTGTTTCGGGCCCCTTCCCAACATGGCTTTGTTTACGTAGCATCCTCCCGCCTTAACCTCCATCCCTGGCTCCAATTTTGGACAGTTTTAAAAGCCTCATAACCAAATTCACACCGCATCAGGAGGGTAAAATGACTTTATTAGTGATATCCTGTCAATTCGCCTTGCAGTAAATTAAGCTCTCTCGGGAACAAATAACCCAGTCCAGGAACAAAACAGGGAGGTCTAGTGCCATACATTTTGGGAGCTGAACCCTTTTCTCGTTTGAACGCCTTTTAAAAAAAAAAATAACAAACCCAACACGTTTTCTCTGGAGCCCTTTTTGTTGTTTAAAAGGTGAGAAGGGAAAAGATGCGATTCTAGGAATGAATGGCACAAATAGAGCCGTCCTGAGGTGACCTCAGTCATTTCTTCTGAGTAGATTTCTTTTCAATTTGTTTCACTCTGAAACCACAGGTAGGGTTTAGTCACAAGCGGGTGGAAACCGAGGAGAAGGTGGGTGAAACAAAACGGAATCATTACATTAGTAAGAATGATAATTCAGAGGTGAAAGCGGGAAGGAGAGCACTTTCCTCAAAGGAAAGAAGCAGACTGACTCTACCTGACAAAAGAGCCCCATCTTTAAAGGGCGCCCAAGGAGGAGTGGGCTGGGAAGGGGGAGAGATGGGGCTACCCTTGGCATTGAGAGGCAGCCTTCCAACCCATCGCTTGGCTGGGATGGGCTTCAGAAGCAGGCGAGTTGTTTTGCTCCCTTCAAGGCGAAACCTAACCTAGGCGCCATCCTTCTCTCCTCCCTTCAGGCGTTGGGACTCTGGAGGTTTCCCTTCGCCTTGAGATCCTTTCCTTCCGTCAAAGAGGTGGCCTCCAAACTCTTCTGTTTGCCTTATCTTCCTCAACATACAACCTATTGGTATCTCCAGCACACCTTTCTAGTCTAGGGCTAAGGCAAGGGTTCAGGAGAGGAGGGAGAAGAAGAAACAACCACCCTACTCAAGTTGCTCATTGTAAGGATGGGCTGCTTTCAAGCAGGCACCCCTGCATTTTACGAGTTGGCTGTTGGTTTAAGCACAAACTTTTAAAACTCGAAGTGCCAGGGAGCCTTTCTCTCCCTTTTTTACGAAGTAATATTCATACCAACTCCAAACTAATAAAGAATTTGTTTACGAGGGACTTTATCCTGGGGGTTCATGCCCACCCACAAACAGAACAACTCCAATTGTGTGTGGGATTAGGCGGATATTATTTGCTATGGGTCTGACTGGGGAGAATGTTTGCAGTGAGACTATGCCACCTTCCTTCCTTTCTTCCTCCCACCCATCCTCTCTTCCTTCCTTCCTTCCTTCCTTCCTTCCTTCCTTCCTTCCTTCCTTCCTTCCTTCCTTCCCTTCCTTCTTCTTTCTTTCTTTCTTCCTTCCTTCCTTTCTTTCTTCTCTTTCTTTCTTTCCTCCCTTCCTTCTTCTTCTTTCCTTTTCTTTCTTCTTTTTCTTTCTTTCTTTCTTTTCTCCCTCCTCCCTCCCTCCCTCCTCCCTCCCTCCTCCCTCCCTCCTTCCCTCCTTCCTTCCTTCCTTCCTTCCTTTTTTTTCCTTCTTCTTTTCTTCTTTCTTTCTTTTTCTTCCTTCCTTCTTCCTTCCTTCCTTCCTTCCTTCCTTCCTTCCTTCCTTCCTTCCTTCTCCTTCCTTCCTTCCCTTTCTTTCTTTCTTTCTTTCTTTCTTTCTTTCTTTCTTATTTCTCCCTTTCTTGGGGTGAGATTAACCTCGCCATCTTTCTGGGCTGCTTAGGTGGCGAAGCAAAGGGGGTCTCAAGGGGGTGGCTGCTGAAAGCCAGTGGGGTGGTATAATAATGAGCAGGATCTCTCCTTTAGGTGTGCCAGTAATTTATTGCTCTTAATAGGTAGATGTAAGCCTCAGCAAAGCCCCAGTGCCGTGGTGCAGTTTTTTTTTAAAGCCCGGTTGAAAGTATAGGATTTGTCAGCTTCCTGCGAAGAAGCCCAGGAAAAGACAGCTGCCGAGCTCCAGCACTTGAATTTGAACCACCAAAGTCAATTCCCTGACTACCATAAAACAGAAGAATGAAGACTGGAAGTCTCACATTCCTTTTGGTCTCCACTCTTAAAGGAAGAAAAAAAAAGAAGAGAAGCTCAATGTGTGTAGGGCAAATAAACTGCAGTGTTTGCTGGTTTCTTTCATCAGGGATAGTTTTTCTTTTTTACAGTTTACAGACGCTTACATGTGCACAAGAGGAAAAGGGATTTTAAAAAAAGTTTTCAGAGTTGCTTCCATGAGAGTGTGATTTCTCCATTGTTTCCGTAAAATATAAAAGGAAGGAAGGAAGGAAAGAAAGAAGGAAATAAAGAAAGAGGATATATTCATATCAACTCCTGGGCAAGGCTTCGTCTTGTAATTAGAAGCATGTATATATATTATTTATCCTGCCTGTTCTTTGTGGCTGCAAGAGTATTTCGGCATTGTATTGCATTGCATTCCTATGTTCAAACAATAAAATAAACGTCCATCTCATTTGCCTGCTTTAATGATGAGCAATGAAATACATACTCCAGTGTTTTTGTTTTTGCTGTTTTATTTTCAGTTGTAAAACGAGAGAGAAAACATTTCAAAGCAAGGCTTTCTAGGAAACCTTCTTTCACTGCGGCTGAACTGAACTTCCAAAGAACCCGTCTCTGTTATAGTTGTGGCGGAGTTGGCCAAAGACAAGTTACCGTCGCGGTGGCAAAAGTCCAGTCCTTCTTCGGCTTGTTTGTGTACATTGCACATTAACTAAGTCCAAACTGAGAGTGATATCATGTCCAAGGAGGTTTTGGACACAGTTGATCCACCTTCGCAGTCAAGAAGGGAGTCTCTTTGGTCTAGTATCCCTCTGAGAAAGAAATGCATCTTTGCCATCCAATGTCAATTTGGTTTAGCTTTCTGGTCCAAACTAAGGCAAGCTTCTCTGCAGTGGCTATAACACAGAAGCCTTTGTCAGATCTGCCCATATTACTATTTTACAGAGAGTGTTTACTGGGGGAAAATATATTATCATGTATATTAATCCAAATTTCGGATGATTTTTCTTATCTTCCTCAACATACAAGCAAACGGAAGTACTGAGGATGGGTTTTGGATTTATTTTTAGTTTTAAAAGAGAGAAATCAGCTTATTGGACACGCTTCTGTTGCGGATTTTAGGTAGAAGATGTCCCTTTAGGGAGATAGGGAGGTCTATAAATAAAGGTGTTGTTGTTGTTGTTGTTGTTATTATTATTATTATTATTATTATTATTGTCAAAAACTTTCATGTAAGTTTGGCCATGTTCCAGGAGCATTCTCTCCTGACATTTTGCCTGCATCTGTGACAGGCATCCTCAGACCGCACAACCTCTAAGGATACTTGTCATAGATGTGGGCGAAAG